ATCCTTTCAGTGAACTAATGTATTTTCATTGAATGAATCGGTAAGTTAGCTTCAGATAGGAGAGTAAACAGACAGCTATGCTCTGAGCATCTGGCTCACCTGTTGATAAGGCATATTCAATTATGAATTGGAGTTCTGTTTGATGTCGGACACCCTTTATAAACGACAAAAGCTGCTTCTAGAATTGAAGTTACCTCTCGTGCTTCGATTCAACTTGATAATATTTGAAAAATATGCGTTTTTATAATGTTATGAAATAAATTGACCACCTCTTATTTCATACTCATTTTTTAGATAATATTCATTTTCAGGAGGTGAAGAACTGCAGCAAGACTTAGTGCATGGTGCGTAAATGGTAATGATAACGTAAAATATGTCTGAAGGCATGTGAGAGACGATGCTAGATGTGAAAGCTGCAAGGCAAGATCAGCTGCTTTTTTTGATTCTTTTTATGGAACCTGTTTACCTGTTGCACCAGCCAACTGCTGTGTTTTCTTGAAATCTCAACTTACTGAACTTTGCTTCATAAGCCTATATACTTGTCATATTACCTCGTCCAGCAGAAGGTTCGGAATTGAAAGAGATTACCAAGGGTTATACAGTGGACGCCTTTCTAGCAAAGTTCATTTTGAATTCTAGATTTTTGGTTCAAAAGCTAGAAACTGAAAGGGAAGAACTCGCGTAAAGAAAAATATCATTGAATCGCGTGAAGGTAACAGTTTAAAAGTCATTACTACTCCTTTTATTACAGAATATCTTTGAAAATATGCTACAATAAATAAATAGTTACGGTGGTGTATATCGTACGACAGAAATGAAAGAATATAATTGGTAGCTATAAAAAATTCACGCCAATGCACTTCGTGAAAAGTCTCGTTAGTTGTATAACTAAAAAGTCAAGCTTTGCCGCAAAGGCGAAGCAATCAACACGATAGCAACAAATTGAAAGTTCACGTGCAGAATGACAAGTAGACTAAAACGTGCCTCGCGTTTCTCACACACAAATAACGCACAAAACGTACTCACAGGTACATATGAACTCGAATAAGCGTCTCAGTTGTTACTTCGCTGCTTTTGAAAAGCGCGCTCTTTTCGCAAATAAAGACTGCGCAACGACTGCAGTGACCTCTGTACGCCCAGTAACTACAGCAGAATCATTCCGGTAAAAGCTTAAGGACAGCCAAGATATAATATGATCCCTACCACTAGACAAAGGCGCGCGACTGTGCGTTCAGGAGCTTGACGAGCACCCCCTTGTCTTTGCGAGGCAAAGTACGCGTGGGAGATGAGGGCGTGTTCCGCCACGCTCATCGCACCATCTTGCTACTAATGCTGAGAAAAATGATAGTCCTACCCCAATACTCATGGTCAAGTACAGAATACTCATGGTCAAGTACAGCTGCAAGTGGTAGATATGAATAGCTTGCCAATTGCCCGTTAAAACACGTGTTATTTGGTGGCTCAGCGGTTAACGCCTCGCACTTACTATGAAACAGTTCCAAGTTCAATTCCACGCACCAGAGCGCTTTTCTTCATTTTTTCTTTCTTGCGTTTAAAAATATATAAATATACGTATACAATACGGTGAGTGCCGGTGGCGAAATCCAGCGGAGAGTGTCCATATAATTGCTATCGCAATACAAGCATGATAGTGCTCGTCCTACAAGCTTTTCTTAGGTCCTGCATTACGATTTCAGCGAACTTAACGGGGTGCTTAACGGCAGTAATTCGCGCAAAGTATGGTTAGAGCCAAGAAGGTGGGACCACAGTTATGAAATAGAGCAATATATCCAGTTGTAATATTCGTCCAGTTAGCTTACCAGCCTCGTGTGATGGCACCTGGTGGTGTAATGCACCTGCGACCAAACTCAGTATTCTAATGATGTCATTTTGCACCTGAAAGTAGAGTCCTGGCCGGTCTACTTAGTTGAAGACAGATTGATGTCGACGTCATGTGTATTTCTTGTTAAACAAACTTTGGCGTAAGCAGGCAAGTGACGGCAGGTTAACCTTGCAGAACGCACTTATTTCGCTTGGTACTAAAAATATCGGACAGGTGCCAAAGAGAAGATACGTTGATGTCGTAGATAGCAGGCTGACGACGACAGTTGAGACGTTACAGCTAACTGATAACACTGGCTACGAGTTATTCTTCGTAAATTATGCTTAGGATTGGGCACGGGGCTTTGTGGTAGAAGAGTTTGTTGTTAATATTTCAATAAAAGCAGTGGTAATAAGATGGAATGCAGGCACTACGTCATGGGTGACATGGGGAGCGCAAAGTAGGAAGTAGAAGCGGTGAGGAGTTGCTATGTAGCACAAAGAGCACTTGCTGAATGGTGTCTGATGACGACGGAATTTGAACGCAATTTTGAAAATGTCCAAAGAAAATTCAAATACTAAGATAGAGTTGTTGCGAGAAGGAGTAGTGTTCAGGGCTGATGGATGAATGCTGAGGACGGGATTAGTTAAAGGGGTGGTTGTTCACATGGTTTGCAGGGAGGCGTAGAGTGTACTGAACAGTTATTATAACACACCCTCTTGGTAAAGCTTAAGAACCACGTTGACCTTGTGCCACAAAGGAATGGGAAGAAATTCTGCAATACACATATAGCTATAGGGGTATATCGAGCGTAAAGGCCACTTGTATAAAAAGAATGAGAAGAAGGCACAAGATTACTTCAAGTTGATGGACAAGCACTTATGGTCGTGCCTTTTGCCTCAGTGATACAGAACGCTCACCAGTCACCGTATCTATTCACGGAATTATAACACCAAAAGCACTTCGAAACATTTATAATCCGGATGCTTCGATTCACGGTGATGGTGAAGTCTTCCACTCAACAACGTCGCGAATGTCGGTAGGTGAGCGCGACAGCAATTGGTGTTGCTTTTTGTGGTGTGATTCAGTTCGCATGCTTGCAGTCCGCGGCACAAGGGCCACAGCTGCGTGTGTCGCCCTGTATTTACAGCGAAAACACCGTCGGTTCTGGTCATGATAATCTTTACTTAGTGAGGGTGACAGAAGAGCTAGTATGGATACACACCTGAGCTCTGAGCGCTATTTTTGGGCGTAAAAGCATCACAGCACAAACTCCAGACGAAATTCTATGGCACAGCATCAAGTTCGGCTAGGCTGCGCGACACATGAACATGATGTATCGTTTAAACACGATCTCTAAAATTAAGGCAGCTTCACACCAGTGGTGCCAGGCCAGAGAAAAGTGCGCCGCGGGGCGAATTTCTCTGTTCCTGTTCAGTTCTGTTCCTTTTTTTCTCTCTTTCTTTCTATTTATATTCATGCAAATTTCAATAAGTGTCTTGCACAGCCATATTTTCCAGCTTTATTTGTTTTTTGGCTCCTTCTTTATATTCATTTCTATCTTTCTTGTTTTTTCTTTCTTTTTTTCCTGCTTTTTGTTTCTTGGTGGCTTTTCATTCTTTTTCAATTTATATAGATCGTTTGCCCGTGTTGTGCCAAACTACGAGCGCAACGACAGCATGTGCAGTATGAACTGCTAAATCACTCCGTACTCAATATCATCATGTAGACACTCTAAGAACAAGCGGAAAAAACACTCCGCTTAGGCGCGAGCGCCGGCTCAGTATGCTAAAGATATGTCTATATTGTATGTGGTTCACATATAGTATAGCCACTCAGACTGCTTCCCAATGCCGTACAGGAGGCAAAGCTCAGGGTGGCGCTCGTGGAGACTCTAGCTCAAAGACACGTCCGCTGGACAATGTTTTGAACTAATGTTGGCCTAGTAATATGATAAGAATAAAAATATGCTGAGAAATTGGGGGGATGAGAGTATATTTTATATTAGGAAGGAAGAGAGGGCATTTTCTATCTTAAGAGAAAGATTAGGGCACTATATTGTTGGTTCAGTGAAAAAGATCAAGCTCCAGTAGGGAGTCATTTTGAACGTGGCAGCACAACGGCACGACAATAGAAAGACAGAGAGATAAACAGCTCTGTCTTTTCTCCTCGTGTCGTTGCGCTGTCTTTTCCAAAATGAGTACTATGAACCCGCTACCCGCATGAAAGTACTTCTCCAGTAGGGAGGGGCAGAATAGAGAACGGTGCCCATGGTTAATGTGTGAGAATAGAGGACGTGTGCAGTTGACACCTGACACACGGTATTGAGTTGACACGGCATTTCGTCAGTGTAGGAGTGAAAAGCAAAGGTGTCAGTTGTAAGGGAGAAGATAGCGTGTGGGGTTTTGGGAAAGAGTCAGAGAGTTTACTTCAAAAGAGGTGTACACTCTGTACTGTAGTCGATGTGAGGATGTAAGTGCTGTTAGAGTAAACGGGGCGGTAAATTTTCTTCATTGTTCCTATGAAGCATATGGTCTCCTAAAATCTCGAAACTGCCAAGTTTAACCCGCGATGAATTGAGATAGAATTGTGGTATGTTTTGAGGGGAACACTATTCAGATGACAGTGAAGGCGGCATGTGGATAGAAGGTTTTGCGGATATGTCAAAGAAATAGCGTACTGTCATTCTGGGACTGTGATTCTCAAGTATGTGTATGTGGGTGTGGCAAAGCGAGGATTATGTGGAGCAGGTTACTGGCATTCCGGACTTGAACTGAATACCTCTAAATGCACTCAGGTCGTCCCCAGTCTTTCGTTATCAACAGAAATATTAGGACAATGCTCAAGGCACGAATGCGTGAGTGCCTAGTAAGAAAAGCACGTTACCTGTCGAAGCGTGGCTGTCTGCTCTATATCTCTGGATGTAAATGCAGCAAAAGTGGACAATTTGTGAGTATGCAGTAATTTATCTGCTTCGAAGGGACCACATAGGTGCTTCGATAGGGTTCGCTGTTTAGAAAGTAGAGTGTTAAGTAAAACTAAATACGAATGGAAACTGTTGACACTCTCGCTGTTAGTCTGTGTAAGCTTTACATGTGGCGGTCTGGAGTACAAAACACATCCGTTTATGGGAATTATACACCAATGCCAACTAGTGGAGAACCCCTGTGTAAGGATGTTAACCAGCCCATGGTAGCGGGCCACTAAATCCTCCAAAGGCTGCGCCCGCAGGTGATTGAGCATGGTGGGCATAGCGACCAGACGCTGCTCCTTGAACCAGGACAGAGAGGGAAGCAGATGGCTTGACGTCAAACATGGCGTTGGCGCTGGTGGCAGGCGCTGTTCCCGGTTCGTTGGTCCGCACATTGGTACGGAAACCATGTGCGTCGGCCACATAGTCGACGCGTCGGAACATGCCAAATGCATTCCGGTATCCGTAAGAACCTCTTTTAGCGTTGCTAGCGTCTCCTTGCTTCTTGCGGAAGGTTTGCGTGCCGACATCGTCTATGCTACTGTAGCCAAAGTTGTATGGTTGTGTAGGCTGCGCGAAAGAGCAGGAGGGAACAAGCAATAAGTTTGCGAAATGACATGGTGATTATTAGAGCTGCGCAGTTTTGAAGATACATCTATTTTGGATGCTGTCATACATCTCTGATTTTCTAGCAAATGTGATTCTTGAGTGAACGTCGTCTCTCCTTAGAACGAGCGTCTCTCAGACTGGTGTGCGGACGCACACCCATCGCGCTCCGCTTAGAATGCCAATTCTGACCGGTCAACGGCCTCGAATCTTCCTGAGCTGCACGGACCCTCTTCCGCGAAGTTCACTTCAACATTTCGAGACCTGGTTCACCAAGGTGGGCTCGTTTTTCATCATTTTAGAGGCCTTTTCGCTGCACCAGCGAGCTAAGCCTAGGCGAGGTTAGGCGAGCCTCCCCGCCTACGGCACTCGCACGCCAGCTGCGACATGCCGCAGCAGATTGCCATGGAAGGGGACGACGTTACCCCTGAGGAATTACAAGGAAACGGATGGTTCTCCGTTCTAAAAAGACGGCAAGAATCGCGCGCGAAGTCACACGCAGCCCGTCAGTCTGGAACGCAACGAGGCGCGACAGCGACGCCTAACGCTACTCTACGACGCGTCGCAGCTGCGAGCCGACTGCCGGCGATGCCACAGAGTCACAATCGAGTCATCGTGCGTCCGGGAGGCGGCCTCAACGTGCTAGCCGGCAGCCCACACAGGATTCTCACCGCACTAACCATGGCAGCTCAGCTAGCGCCGTCGGTAACGGAGAAGGACAATATTTGTCCCAACTCGATGCAAAACATTTGTGTCGTCAGTACGCCTAGTGCTACTAATGCAGCAGCGTACAGTCGAGTAACCGAGATAATTCTCACCGACCAGAGACACTCGGTCACGGCCTACCTCTCACCTGCCGGTATCACGAGCCGAGGCGTGATTCGTGGCGTCGACACTGACTTTGACGACGCCGCACTCAACCGCATGCTAATCCAACCGCGCAACTCAAGCCTACTGGGAGCGCGTTGCATCAAGAACACTGGAACTGTGATTCTGATCTTCAACGGGCTCAAAGTGCCCAACTACGTCTACTGCGGCCAGGTCATCTACCGCTGCACGTTGTACAAGCGCCAAATAGACACCTGCCGTACCTGCGGCCAAGTGGGCCATCGCCAAGACGTGTGCCCCACTCCTTCAACCAAAGTCTGCGACTACTGCGGTCACTTACCAACGGACAACCCACACGTGTGCAACCAACCAGTGTGCGCCTTATGCGGCGAAGCACACCGCACTAACGACCGCGAATGCCGACATCGCTACCAGCTGCCTTATCTGGTGCGCCATCGTCGACAGCGCCGTCGCCGACGAAAGCAAGCCCAGCAGCAAACACCCACCCCCGCACCCAGCCCGGTTCCTGCCAAGACCACCGAACCGCAAGGACCTCCTCTAGGCCCACGTAATCCTACTCCCACTGACCAGCCTACCTGGGCCGACAAGGTGGCATGCAAAGGTGAAGCCCATGCAGCGCAGCGTCAGGGACACTTGCCACAGCAACCTGACCCAGAACTAGCACAGTTTAAACGCATGTATGCGGAGCAGGCTAAAGAAATCTAATCGCTTAAAGAAGAGCTAGCAAAACAACAGGCCCCCGAATCGCGCGAGGGTAGCATTATCAGCGGCCCCGTCTCGATACGCCGCGCTAAGAAACGGGCAGGCCCGACGCTCCAGGCCGAAGAGCAATCCGAATTTGACCGGTTTACAGCCAATATATACGTGATACTAGAGCAGTACCGCGCAGAGACCACGGCCGAGTATAGCGCTTTCAACGAAAAACTAGAGAGCATGCAGAAACAACTTATCGAGTTGGCTGCATGGCCATCACAAATGGACGCGAGGACTAAGGTGTTGGAGGAGGACCTGGCACGCAGTAAGCGCGCTGGGCTAATACCTAGACCTTAAAATGGCGTCGTCACAATCATTCACAATTTGGCAATGGAACGCAAGTACCCTCTGTACGGGGAGAGAAACGTTACAACAATTCATTGGCTCTATGACCCAACGACCGGCCGTCATGCTCCTGCAGGAAACGCGTATCGACCGATTCGCTCTTCGCGGATACAGAGTCGAGGCCGTCTGTGGGAACAAAGCTCGAGGAATAGCCGCCTGTGTGGCTAAACCTTATGCTTACACGACGCATGCAGTACGCCCAGACCTAAAAATAGAGCATCAGATGATAGAGATCATCCCCAACGCTCACATTAAGCAATCGGTATTCATCCTTAATGTGTACAGTCACCGTCACACAGCACAGAAACATTCACCACACTACTAACTAAAGCGACGCAGATAGCAGGCAATCATCCCCTCATCATCGCGGGGGACTTCAACGCCCCCCATGTAGAATGGGGTTAAAATCGCACAACACAGAAAGGACGCCACTTACAAACACACATAACTCAACGCAATTTCATGTTACTTAACGACCTCTCTACCCCCACACACATAGGTAACTCAGTGTCACGGGACTCATCCCCTGACCTGACCCTAGTACGCAACGTTTCGAATCCCACATGGGTTAATCTGCAAGCTAACCTCGTTAGCGATCACTTTATCTGTAGCACAACAGTCAATATAGGCAGCCTCGAGCCCAGAGACTTTAAAGTAGTAGACTGGAACTTCTTTAGGCAAATACGCAACAAGACACCAACCATTACTCTTCACTCTCTGAACTCTTTGCGAGACTACAGTGGGACGTAAAACAAGCTGCCAAAAATATTTCTACAACACGCAACATAGACCACATGGACAGCCACCTCGCACATCTCCTGGAGGCTCACAAAAGTCTTCAAGAAAGATGGAGAATGCATAAACTCAATCGTAGGCTTCGAAAAAGAATATCATTGCTCAACCGACAAATCGAAGAGTACAGTCACACTAGCACGCAATCAGTGGAATGAGGTGTGTAGTTCGCTTGACGCACGCATGAGAAAGGGTCTAAAATGGGACTTTCTCAGGCATCTGCTCGGCGACAAGCCCACCAAGTCAGAGCAATGACTAACTCTAGATAGACTGTTACACAAAGCGCGAGGACAGCAACTTACCGACGCGCAGATTTTAGATGCTACAGCAGCCCGGTATCTATGCACAGAACCTACCTCACATAAAGACTATCCACCTTACGCGGGGGCCACAGACAACCCATTTGAGCAGGCTATAACTAGCGCTGAAATACGCGCGGTAATAGCAGAGCTCAATACTAAGTCAGCCCCGGGTCCTGACGGAGTCACCAACAAGCTACTCCGCAACCTGGCTGACCATGACATTGAATCACTAGCCACCACATGAATGAGGTTTGGGAGCAAGGGAGCGTCCCGCCAGAATGGAGGGCCGCGACCGTCATACTCATTTCCAAGCCGAACAAACCCCTGGAATTCGACTCTCTACGACCCATCTCCCTCACATCCTGTGTGAGTAAGGTCATGGAGCACGTCATTCTCTGTCGAGTCACAAAATATTCAATGCGAAAACACCTCTTCCCATTCAATCAAGTAGGGTTCAGGCCGGCTATGGCCACGCAGGACATCTTTCTCATGCTGCAGGAGACGTTACTTAGAGTAAGGAGCAAAGACCTCAGAGCAATCCTAGCTCTTGACTTAGAGAAAGCTTTTGATACCATAAGCCACGCTCATATACTACACGAGATTCAGAAGGCAGGCTTAGGCCGCCGCTTCTACGAATACGTCCGCTCTTTCCTAATAGCCAGAACAGCCACACTTAAAGTTGGGGATCTCAAGTCACACACCTACAACCTAGGCCCGCGCGGCACCCCGCAAGGGTCGGTGCTCTCACCGTTTCTTTTCAAATTAGCCCTCAGGCAACTTTCGCAAAAGCTGAGACACATCGAAGGCGTAGAACACGCGCTCTACGCCGACGATATTACTATTTGGCGTACTGGAGGGAGCGATGGACAAATCGAAGCGAGCCTTCAGGAAGCAGTCACTGCAGTACAAATATTTTTAAAGCCCACGGGCCTCAAACTATCATCTAAGTCCGAGTTGCTGCTTCTGCCACCACAGTACGGCCGCACCAAAGCCGAACCTACCATACACCTCTCCACAATGGATGGCTTGGTTATACCGATAGTGTCGTCAGTTTGAATTCTGGGCGTTACCCTACAGGAGAATGGCAAAAACGACTTAACCATCACACATCTCACCAAAAAAGCTGAGGTAGTCATGCACCTCACCCAACGCGTCGCTAATAGACACGCAGGACTCACAGAAGAAAGCTTACTACGCATCTTTCATGCGTTCTTAATGTGCCACGTTCACTACGTTGCCTGCGCTCACCCACGGAGCAAAGGCGATGAAACTAAAGTAGACAACCTCATCCGAAAATGCACAAAACGAGTACTTGGTCTACCCATGTTCATAAGCACGCAGCGCCTGCTATCCCTTGGGGTACATAACACGTTCCAAGAAATCATCGAAGCACAAAGAATGTCCCAACTCATACGCCTGTCGTCGACAGCTGCGGGTCAGGAACTCCTCTCACACATAGGTCTTCCTATCCCAACTCAAATCAACGAACCAGAACCATTACCGTAACACCTTCACGCTAAAATCACAGTGCTACCCTTCCCCAGGAACATGCACCCGGTGTACAATTAGCTCGAAGAAGGGCACGAGCTCAATCCTTACTAAAAGCGGCCAACCTACACGCGACAGACGTGGTTTTCGTAGACGCCGCTAAATACGTGGACAAACCCTACTTTGCAGCTGTGGCGGTCGCCCCAGACGGAAAAGCTCTTAATGCTCTTACTGTAAAAACACAGAAAGCCTGCGAGGCTGAACAAGTGGCCATTTCCCTTTCTCTAGCACTCCCTCAGCGCGACACAGTATTTACCGACTCTAAACCTGCTGTACTGGCATAGCGCCGCGGTACACTTTGCCAGGCGGCATTAAGAGTTCTAGCATCTGTTCAGATAACAGTAGACAAGTATATCCAGTGGTTCCCTGGTCTTGAAGGGATCAACGTTCAACCAGGGGTCCCCAACGGTAATGAGCTGGCCCATAACCTCGCGCGTGATCTTACGCGCCGCGGGGGGTCGCGGTCCGGCTCACTGGCCGGGGACACCAACACGCACCGGGAGCCACTCCTATCATATCATGAAATTTGCTCGCACTATAAGTTATTTAGAAAGGAATTCCCCTCACCTCACTC